TAATATTGTGTTGTAAATTTAAAATTTGAATTATGCTGGTCCGTGTACATCCGGGGGTCGATTCTGTATTTCTGAAGGAGTGAAAATGTGAAAAGTGAGCAGCACTCTGCAGCACTGATTGGTGTATACTTTTAGATCTAACAATATACACCAATCAGTGCTGTTCATTTTTCACATTTTCACTCCTTCGGAAATACAGAATCGACCCCCAGGATTCGACAACTCAGGCAAGCCGAGTAGTAATGCTGCGATATTCCGATATCCCCACCACTAACCGCGCGCCTGTCACTCTACGAGTGCCGATCGGACACACTTACACAAGGAAAGAGCCTCGTACGTGTGCGCTCGGCTCGGCGCAGACGCGGGCGGCTGCTCAGTCAGCGCTTTAGGCGAGAGTGGAGGAAGCCTCCGCACTACGAATGAAGGAAGAATAAACGTGATAACCAAGCGTGACTGCTGGGCCGCCAGTTGTCGAGCCTAGTGTACATACATACATATATGTGAGCTGTTTCCGTGTCCTTATCTCCTCCATCACAGTTGCGTGTTACTGCATTCGCAGTAAGGAAGAGTAGGAACCAAACGAACGATATCTTTAATTATATTTTGCCGCTGGCTACCGTACTGCGACGAATAGTCAGTCGACAGCGAATCGAAACGACTAAGGCATTATTATAATTTTTTTGTTTTAATCTTTCTGTTAAAGAAATATACATATATACATAAGAGAGAGTACATTTTATCTTAAACAATGGCCTTTATCTCAAAGCTGATTGCATTATTACAATTGGCAGAGTTTAAAGATGTAGTAGGAAACGACGGTCGCGTTATACCTCCAAGTTCTAATCTATATAAACAATTTTCTGCTGCATTGAATAATTCAATAAGTCCGAAATATATCTATACTATTTTAAAATTAAATTGTTATAATGTTTATACAGATTTACTTTCAAAATATAATATTAAAGTAGAACAGGATGATTCATTAAACATCTCGGAAACATCGATTGATACGTTAAATAATAGCCGTACGATTTCTTTTTCGATTAATGTCACGGATATATGGCCGCAAATTTCTGATGAAAAAATAAAATATAATTTTAAAAGTCGTGGTAAACGTAATATACGCGTATTACGGCGTTACGCATGGACAAGCATACTTTATGAGCGATTATATGATGAAACGAAATTACCGTGTGCACTTACCTTCAAGTGCGCGAAAATATCGGACTCTGGAATTTTTTTAATCGTTACCGGCAAATGTCCGGAATGTAAATGCAATTTTACTGGAAAAATTATAAACGCACCACAGAAAAAAGATGTTGTAAAAATGGAATGCACAATCCATGATTATAATTTTAAGGTAAAACATAATAAAAAACGACAATAAAAAGGTTTTGACCGCAAACAGGTTGCTCATAAATTAGTAGAGGGTAAAACGCTTCCTTGTATGTGGAGAAGAGAGCAAGCTAATAATTTAATGGATGTTGGAGATGACGAGCCTGCACATTTATACACGTATAACGTACTTCGCAAAGCTAAACAAGAACGGCAAGACAGGTTATTGGGTGTAACAATCTGTCAATATATTTGAGAGTCTTTTGTTGATGAAATATAGTTCACGATACGAAGGCGCGGTTAGATTTATCGGGTTGGATCCGTTAATTGTGCATTATTGGACTCGAGAGCAATTTGCTGTATATGAGAAATATCATACAATATTATATATTGATGCCATTGGATCTTTAATAAAAAAAATTAAATTACCAAATGGCGAATTGTGTTCACATATATATTTATATCAAGCAGTTGCACAAATTGCTGAAAACACAACTCCTATTTTTCAAATGATTTCTGCATCACAAAATACAAATACAATAGTATTTTGGTTGCAAGAATTTTTACGGACCGGTGCTATACAAAATTCTTCATTTCCCTCTCCTAAAGAAATAGTCACCGACTTTGATAAAGCCTTGCTCAGTGCTGTTGCAAGAGCGTTTGCGAAATCTATTACATTGCATAATTATTTATCTAAGTGTTTTGCTCTATTGATTGGTGTAAAGTTACCTATACCGCCCTGTCTTTTGCGATTGGATGTATCTCATTATATGAATATGATTGCTAAGTGGAACTGTTTTTCTGGCAAACCACCTATAGTAAGGATATTTTTTATGCGTTCAATGGCAATTTTAAGAAAGCAAAATACATTCCATGAATTTGAAGAAGTTGCACGTAATATTTTAATTCTCGCAATAAGTCCTTATCAAGATTCTAACGGTTTGACGATGACAGCACGAAACAGTTTAACATTACTTATACAAGGCGATACAGATGCATTGTCAATAAGTGATAAAAATTTGTCAATACCTATCGAATCTGAATATAAAAGCGATCAAAATGTAGACGAGGTAGATGTAACCAAAACAAATATATATCGCTGGGTTGATTCAATGTATAATGATTGTGTTTCTCAAATAAATAAATTGGAAGAAACCTATGATATTAATGGATTTTATTGCATAGATTTTGCAAAAAAGTTTAAAGTTTTATTAAAGTATTTTCCATTGTTTAGTGAAATTATGCCTGCAATATTTGGTTATGGCTCCATAAATGCAACCTCTGCGGCGGTAGAATCAGAATTTAATGATTTAAAAAATCGAACGTTAAGAGATGTGTCTCTTCCTATGAGAGCCGATAAGTTTATAAGTAAACATATTTCTTGTTTGTCAGGTAAAATAAAATTGGCAATGGCGGGAAGGTTAGAAAATGATTCTATAAACATCGATGACGAAAATAAAATTAATAGAAATAATAGTAATTTACTCGTATCCACTTGTAATTCTGATAATGGTCCTACAGATAACGACTCAATAGACTTAACGGAATTGCAAGCCGAACAAAATTGGCGCAATAAAAATATAAAAAAACGGGCTTGTCGCTATGCTGATGCATGTCCCAATTTTGACGCTACTAGTGATAAATACGTAACGTTGCCTGCAATACCGAATGGAAATTACTGTAAAAATGTCAAAAATGGAAAAGTTACACTAATAGTAACAAATACTTGTGGTTTTAACAGTTTATGTCAAATATTATCTACAAGCTTGGTAAATAATGAAGTATACAATAATGCATTATTAGAAACACCCTCAAAATTAATATCATGTGCTAAAGTGTTGATAAAAGAGGGTTTAAGTACAAATTTCTTTAGAGAACGCGCTAAAATATTGTGCAATCTTAATCAATTAAAACCGGATATTAAACAAGACTCTATAATAAAAGTAAGCGCTATTTCTAATATAGCTAATCTCACAACTTGGTTGCTCGAGGATGTCCCAAGTTTTACAGTAACAAACACATGTGGCATATGTAATCGTGTAAAAATACGTAGAAATGTTATATATATCAATATCAACTATACGATAATTAACGAAAAAGGGATGCGATTTTTACAGGAAGCATTACATGAAGAATTTGATACTCACCGACTGTGTTGCGGAAAGTCTCAGCAATCAAATATCATGTACGGTCCGCATATAATTATGGACTGAATGTGGTGATCAAAAATTGACAATTTTATCCGACTATCCCATAGAATTACATGTAACTTGCAACAGATACATCTTATCTGGTGTAATTGCATATGAAGGGACTAATGATGTAAAGTCTGTAGGCCACTACATTGCTTATATTAAAATAGGCCAAAAATGGCTTTACTACGATGACAATTCGCGTAAAGGTAAATCAAGAGTTGTTGACGAACAAACAATGGTCAAAGGGGACATTTGCGTTTACACCATATCAAGAAATAATTAAAAACTAAATAAACACATTTCAATATCAGTAAACTACATAGTCCATAAATAAACTATATATATATATATATATATATATATATGTATATATATATAGTTTTATATTATATATATACATATATATATATATATATATATATATATATATATATATATTGTATCAATTCGCATAAAATAATTTTTTAAAACAGAAATAAAATAATTGATAATATTTTTTACCTTTTAGAATACTCCTATTGATATCGAAATAGATATGGACCTAATGAATAATGAAAACAAGGAAAATAAAGAAACTAAAACTTCAGATGAAAAAAACGTAAATGAAAAAAATAATGAATGTAAGAGGAAAATAGATACTATTAAAGAAACTGGTATTTCTATATTAAGAAGGACATTAGCGCCAGAATTACGCACTAAAAGATTGAAGAAAACGCATCAGTTAATTTCTCATGAAACCTCAGGTCAACGAGATCAAGAAATGAAAGAAGAAATCCACGAAACTAGAATGAAAACTTTAAAGAAAGAATTAGAGATTAAAGAAAATCAATTTTATAGAGAACTTGAAATAAATACAGAAAGATTGAAAACTGCTAAAGTTGAGAACGAGTTAAAAACCTTGCAAAAACAGATAGAAGAAGCTAAGTTAGAAAAACTGCTTCAGACTGATTCTGATTGATTATTTTATTTATATGTAAAACTTTTTAATTTCTTATATTAATGTTATATATTCTAAAAAAATTATAGTAAATATAAAGTACACATATACACACATACGTACACACGCACACACACGCACCACACACGCACACACACATGCACACGAACACATACACATACACACACCATACACACATGCACATAAAAATTATATATTTGCGTTACATGATATATATTATAAAGTTTATTATAAAGATAATAAAGTTTACTGTAAAATTTGTTATTATAAAGGTTATGTGATACAAGTGCAAATGTTTATAATGTTATAAAATAAATATAACTGTATTCAAATACATTTTTTATTTAATAAAGTTTAGATCATTTTTAGTAAATTAATCAATTCATTCTTGATGTCGATCAATTTCTGTATGAATGCAATGAAAATAATGAACTCTTTTTGAAGAATAAGAAGCAGGACTGATATATATCAATTTTTACTGTCCCAACGTTTACCAACTGTGTAACTAACTGTCACTTTAACGGACAAGACTGCAAACAAAATTTGTATTAGTATAGAAAAATATAATTGTTCAAATGTAAGAAAAATATAGGAAATAATATATTACCGTGCAAAATATGTATCAATTAATGAACGTCGTACATTAGCATTATCAATGCCATTATTATGTGCTTCTGGATTTTCTAATTCCTCAAGTGCAGCTTTAATATCGAAATCGATTGGAGGATCAGGTTCTCCTTGGTTTAGTGCAATGTTGTGCAGTACTGCGGTAGCTACTATTACAGTTTGTGCATTTAAAGGTTTTATTCTTAAACCAAATGCCAATGCAGCAAATCTTCGTTTCCATACTCCAAAACTTCTTTCTACGACATTTCGTGTTCGTATTTGGGATTCACTATATAATTCTTCAGCTTGAGTATGCGTTTCAAGCAATGGAGTCAATAAAAAATTTGTGCAAGCATAACCACTGTCACCAAGTAGTAATGCATCTCCCATTTCGCCATTAATAAATTTTGCACGTATTCTGCTAGCATTAAAAATGGTGGAATCACGTGTTGATCCAGGCCACCGTGCTACAATGTCTAAAAATTTTAAAGCACTGTCACAAACAGCCTGTACATTTATACTAAATATTCCTTTTCTATTTCTGAATACTTCAGCCTCTTCTCCACCTTTAAACAAAAGCAATATGAAAATATTGTAGAATTTATTATTTATTTTTAATTTCAATACATAATACATACCTGGCGATTGAATTTTAACATGCGTACAATCAATGGCTCCTATGACTCTAGGAAAACGAGCAATGTTATAAAAGCCTTCTTTTGTGTGCCTTAGACTCTGATTGGAATTAGGACAATAAATATATTGTGGACGTAAAGATGCTATTGCTTCTGTAACCTTTTTTATTATTCTGCACATGGTGGATTTATGAATTCCACCCAAATCACCAATTGCAACTTGATAGGTTCCAGTTGCATAAAATCTTAATGTAAGTAATAGTTGGTGCAATGGCGAAACAGCATGATTTCTGAAATAAATATATTTATATTTATTAATATAATATCATATAAATTATATATATAATATGAATCTTTTCGTTTATTTAGTATTTATGTAAATATACGTTCCATATTTACCTGTCAGTCTTGCTTCTTATTCTTTGTTTAATAAGAATTAATATCATTTGGACAGTACGTTTGCGAAACCGAAATCGTCTTAAAAATTCTATATTATCATATTCGTTGAACAAATCTGGACGCGGACGAACTGTATATTGTTTGCGAACCACCACTATTATTTCTTCATCAGCTTCTTCAGCATTATTTTCATCGCATTCATACAGAAATTGATTTTCGCACAATTCCATTTCCGTACAATATTTAAAATTTTTATTGCACAGATTAATACACAAATGTTAAATTTTGAAATAACCAAGTATCTTCCTTTCAGCAGCGTAAAATAAATCATAGCGTGTCAAGTTTTCTAACTTCACTACATATTTATCCATAAGATAAGTGGTTTACACGGTACTGAGAGTGTCGTGTAATTTACCTATTGGAACTGGTCATTTATCAGGGAGGTAAATTTTACCGAAAAGTGGAACAACGCAAGTCAGAATTTTAACCATTAGATAAATTATCTGATACTTTATCTGACGATGGAACAACCGGCTCTTATTGTAGACGACGCTTCAAAACGCAGTCAATAGAGTAACCTTAAGCAATAAGAAATTTACCGATCACAGTCGAATATAAAAAAATTATATGGGTGGGTAGGTAAGTGTGTGTGTGGGTGAGTGAGTGGGTGGATGGGTAAGTGTGTGAGTGGATGGATGGGTGGGTAGGTGGGTGAGTGGGGGTGTGTGGTATGTACGTATGCATGGTGTAATTAACAAGGTGTGCTGTTGCGCACAGTCATGGTTAGCAAATCAGCGTTATGGAACAAGTGACCAGCTATATTGATGTATTAGCCAATCAATGTTTTGCTTCTAAGTCCGCGATAATTGAAAGGATAAATCATAATTGAAAAATATCGTCAATTAAAAAATCAAAAATGATTCAAATTCTTAGTTAATAATAATGTTAACATATTATAAAGTCACTTAAGTATTTAAAAAAATAAAGATAAAGATAAATAAGTAAATCAACTATAAATGTTTTGTCACAGAATTTATTAGAAAAAATGTAACAAAATATTAACGTACAAATTTTAAAATTTTGTTTTTCTTATATTTATCATTAATATTAAAAATAATTTTTTTATTAATTTCTCTTAACACATTGCATGCGGGCATATTTTGCCGCGGACTTATGCGTGTAGCGGGCGTCTCCAGCACTAAATCTACTAAATACGTATTTTTACGTGACCCGCGCTCCAGTGACAGACAGCAAAAAACGTAAAAGTACGTTTCCCGCATGCAATGTGTTAATCTAAGTACGTGTGCGAACCAGGCACAATATTATTTCTTTAGGTATAATATCAGAGAGAAGCCTTCTCTGATAATATTATCATTTATTTTTTGCTTGACTGGGCTAGTGACTTTTTCAAATATAAAGGTCTCTTTACTCAAACCAGAGTCACCATGAAAAAGAACGAACTCTTTTTCCATAACGTTCGCTACATTAATTAAATGCTACATGCCACCATAATTTAATTAAAATAGCAAGGCACAAATTGACTCTATTTTTTCAATATGGAAGGCCACTTGTTCCAGCGCCATATGTGCGCAGAACGAGTCGAAATTTGGTCTGCTTGACGAGCACACCTTGGCTGCGTTCCGATATTCACTGCCAGTACTAAAAATCTATAGTATGCGTGACATAAACTATAGATTTTCAGTACTGGCAGTGAATATTGGAACGCAGCCCTTGTTACTTATTCCACCATGTACGTATGTATGTACACTCCGCGACAACGATTCGTTCCATGGTCTCTCTCGCGGGGCAAGGGGAGCGTAGCCTCTGACCAATCAGCCACTGCCACGCTGCCAGCTGATTGGTCACTTTTACGCTCCCCTTGCCTCGTGAGAGAGAGGCCACGGAACTAATCGTTGTCGCGTAGTGTACAGTGCGCGTCAATGATTCGTCCCGTTTCCCTAGCGAGGGTTGGTAATATCTATCCTTTGCTAAAGCATACGATCCTTATACATTAGTAAAGGATAGATATTACCAACCCTCGCTAGGGAAACGGAACGAATCATTGACGCGCACATATCTGTACATATATACGTACGTATTAATTATTTAGATGCACGTTTTTGAGGTCAACAGATGGCGTATCGCTTTTAGGGATCACCTAAAAGCGGGCCGTGACACCTTTCATTCTTCTTTCTGTTAGAGCCTTCGCACAAGGTGTTTCGTATCGTATTACGTTACGTTAGGTATCAATGATAAATTTAATTCCGTATGTAAACTTAAACTTCAGTCAACACACAGAAAATATTGTAAAGGTATGTCTTTACGTTACAATTTTTTCTGCGTTGACTGAAGTTTAAGTTTACGTACAGAGTTAAATTTATCATTGATACTTAACGTAACGTAATGGGATACGGATACGGAATACCTTGTGCGGAGGCCCTTGTTTATGTCACGCATATTATACATTTTCTGTCACTTCATACGCATCATGCGTAAATCGGAAGGTACCCAGAGAAAAACGTATATGCAACTAATGTATACGTTTTCCTTTGTCTTTACGTCCGTAACTGCGACAGATGTAAGCGCATACGTCTCATTCTTTGCCATCAGTTTTAGTTTTACAATATAGAAAAATACGTCAAATTTTCAAATATTTTTTTTCTTCCAAACAGTATTAAATAATGTATATTCATCAAAGTATAAAATAAGTTACTTTTATTAATTTGAAATAAATCTCCCTAATTATGATATATAACAATGTTTTTATATTTCAATAATTATTTAGTGTACTTTATTTTCAGTGGTACAAATTATGTTATTATGATGAGTCATTGTATAATGCAATGCACACTATTACTGTAAAAGACATACATTTACAGTGTAAGACTCTAATTTCACATATGAACATTATGTCGTTTATAAATGAATGAGGTAAGTTCAATAGCTGGTAATGGTATGTATTACTAACACTTCTACTAAAATTACATGTGTATGAAAATCTAGTTTATAATATTTTTAATTTAGATTATTAAATACAACTTTCTTTAATTTTTATAGGAGCAGAAAACACGAGATTGTGTGATAATCAGTAAAATAAGTCTAATCAACATTTGGAGATTTAGATCAAGAGAAAATCCATTTACAAATTATGAAATTCTGATAAGTGAGAGTTCATTATTATTGTCTCCACTTTCAGAATCTTGTGAAATGTTATGGAATTATCTTCTATAATTAGCTGTTTATTGTAGAAAAGTCAATATGCTTCTTTAATTTACACATATGTTTGTAGAATGTTCTTTACATATGTTCACAGAATGCAAATGAAATTTGTACTCTGAGCCAAGTAATACGTGTTTGTATAGTTTAAATAATCTTTAATAATTTATTCATAAAATGCAGTAAATGTAGTATTTGTATTATCTATATTAAAGAATTTAAATAATATATATGTAATTTATCAATTTAACTTAACCAACGTATCAATTTTAGAATTATAATGTATAAACATACATTATTTTTTAAAGAAATAATCTCATATTGATATGATAATATATTTGTAACAATTATACTTGAAAATTTATATGTATGTGTATGTGTATTGTCTCATATAATGGATATTATATATTTATTGAATATTATAATGGAACAGGAAGATGCTTTTGTATTACATAATATTTGATTGGAAAACATAGTATATTAGATTCTAATTTTATTATTATTACTATTATATAATTCTAAATCTTTAAATTATTAGTTGTTTACTTGAATTTTAATGAGATATGTTTAGTAGATGGTAGTATATATACATATATACTGTTAATATTTTTAGTAAAATTATTTGTATGAATTACTAGTATATAACATTTTTTTTAATTTATAATGTTTCTAATTTATATTTTCGAATGTCAAAACACTTTACTTTTACTAAGTACTAACTAGAAACTAAGACTGAGGTATCCTGCATCCATATAATTAACTAACACATATTTTTTTCTGTTTTTTAATAATTCCTCAAGTCTTTTAAATGAATTTTATGATTTATATCCTTTATTAAAATCTTACATATAGAATAGCATGTGAATATATTTATCTACACAGCCTTTTTGGAAAATTACTCTTTTGCTTTAACAAAATTTATAGAATAATATTTATTATAGATAATATTATTATTATAGATAATATATATTGAAGTAAATAGAAATAAAATATATATGTATGTTAACGTGATGCATATTTGGATATAGATTATATATAATATACATTATATTTATATGTATATATTCCCAAACTGAAAATTTATTAAATTTTATTAATTAATTTATGTATTTGTAAGAATATTCTAATAACAAACATTACACATATATTATTTAAATTATTTAATATAGATAATACAAATACTGCATTTACTGCATTTTATGAATAAATTATTAAAGATTATTTAAACTATACAAATACATATTACTTGGCTAGGAGTACAAATCTCGTTTGCATTCTGTGAACATATATAAAGAACATTCTACAAACATATGTGTAAATTAGAATCATATTGACTTTTCTTCAATAAACAGCTAATAATTATAGAAGAGAATTCCATAACATTTCACAAGATTCTGAAAGTGGAGACTATAAAGCCTCGTCTACAATAGTCGCAAAGGCTGTGTCGCATGTCGTACATAGTACTGTCGCAAGAAAGTTTGTCGCATGTGTCGCTAGACAAGTGTCTACAATTGTCGTACGAATTGTTGTCGCGAAATCAAATCGACCATAGTTACAATGGAAGATCTGCAGCAATTATTATGCTTTTTGCAACTCTGCTCCGAATTTTTAAATTTATTATCATTATATAGTCGTTTGCTCAATGAGTCAAACAATAGAAGATGGTGGGTGCGACCAATAAATAATGAAGAAAGACGGCGTTCTAAAGGGTTCCATTTAACATATTTTTGTGAACTGATGGAAACAGGTCACGAAGAATTTTTTAACTGGACTGTGGCCACGTCAATTCAGAAATCTTTATGAGCTCATTCGCCCTCGATTATTAAAAAGAAGTCGTCGTCGTTCATTACATCCAGAGCTGAGGCTGATTTTGACTCTGTCGTAAGTATAGATTTTGTTAATTCATGATGCACATCTTTTGGCTCAAAGTATGTACGTAGTCTACGTAGTTTTAATGTGTCTTTCTCATTTCGATCAGGTACTTAGCCCATAGGGACAGCACGTTTTCAAAAAA